CAAGAAGAATGTTGCAATGTTGTCAGGTGAATGTTAGATCGGATCACCTTCAGCCACAAAATTTTTCGGCTAAACCCATCTATGGCGCCATGAATGGGCAAGCCAAATGGTTGTCATAGCCATCTATGTGCCACGAGTAATTTAGTCCTGGGTGGTGGTAAACTTTCCTTTTTAGCCGCCTGGCTTTTCTTAACTGCAAACCATCGGGATACAATTCTTTTAGCATATCCATTTCTAAAGTATGCCATATTGTCCGGTATCCTGCGCATATCCTAGGGCCATTGATAAGTTCTTGAACACGTTGCCTTACTACTGCAATTTCATTGTTTGAATCCTCCCTGTTTGAAAACCCTCTCCTTCCAAGTCCATAAGCCTTTAGCCGTCGCAATAATGCACTGTAACTAATTTCATGGTTATGACAGTTAACAAGAAATAGAAGAATTTTATTATAACTGAATCCACGTCGGAAGTAATATTTGATTACAGCTTCTTCATCAATGTCAGCTTCACTGCTTGAGTTTTCAGCTTCACTGCTTGAGTTTTCATCTTCACTGCTTGAGTTTTCATCTTCACTGTTGACATCTAAAGTAAGTGCTCGACGATAACACTATCTTCATGCAAGTCTGTAGAAAAAATAACACTAGTTACTAGTCCTTAGTAGAGAGTTGCTATGGCCATTGGTCATAACAGTGCACTAGCATCACACAGGACATTCATAAGCTCAAATACTAGCAGTCATGAAGCAGGGGATGAAGGAAAAAAATCGTATATTGGAATCCTGAGAAATCATTTCTGTATTTGTTTTAGTCTGTTGCATGATAATCATTCAGATTTAGAGACAAAGTCTGAGATCTGAGATGGACAGAACCTCCTAAATCAAGATCACGTTTTAACTCACTGACTGGTACTGTGCCCTTATCTATCATACTTGAGTTTCATACAATGCGATTATATTAACATATGGCAAAGTTATTACACAGTAAATAGATAAATTTGGTAACAGTTTCACCTGCACCCCGGGGCACACAGTAGGGTTTGTGTGTGATGTGTCACTCAGTCAGCACCAAGGTAGTGCCTCGTGAGCAACAGAAATTTGATATGGGCCATGGGAAACAAAATGGCAATAGCCGATTTCAAGCGACCCAAAAGGGAAACTATGCAACTTACGTATGATGAATAATATTCCTGTTATAATAACTCGACGCAAATATCGCTCACCTTTAACAAAGCCAGTAATTTAAATCTGACGTCGACAGTTCAAAAGAACACGTAGACACCATCAGCGCCCCAAAAACTTAAAATTCGTACATGTGGTTGGACGTCAAAATGTCTAGTGTTAAATGCGAGATCAATTGTAAAACCAGATGCTCTTCCAGCATTACATGCAGGCCTGAATAATAACGCTATTGTATGGTGGCCCATTGTTATCACTGTAAATTCAGTAGATAATTTTATTTTAAAACTATATTTCACGAACAAAATCAAAAAGAGAGAAATTTTAAAAATATTTAAAAAATAAACATAAATAAAAAAAAATATGTTTAAGAAATTTAAAAAACAAACAAACAAAAACTAACATGCGATTTTCGTTTTCGATTCTGAAATCAAATGTTCTCGACGTGGCCCATCGTTATCATAGACCAGCATGCCCAGCATGCCCTGCTTGTACAATAAAAAAAATCCACTGACCTTATGACCTAGTACTGCAGTCAGCAGATTCAAATGTCAACATGGCGGCAGGAGAAAGATATCAAAATACAGATTGGGAAGATGATGAAGAATTGGGAAATGATATAAAGAAATACGTAATGCAGAACTTAACCAGAGAGGTGCTGAAATCACCTAACGCTCGCCTGCACTGTTTGTCTAGAATAAGACTAAACTCTGTATGAAAGGTATCTGTATGAAGCACAAATTACCGATCTTTTTATTACAAATTACAAGGCTAAAATCCGCGTTGGAAGGTAATATTAAGCACAAACTTCAGATATTAGTTGTGACCTCAGAATTACTGGCCAAAACTGGCCTCGGAATTACATTAGTTTTATTTGTGACCAATATTTCTTCCGTTTCTCGCAATCCGCGCACGTGATATCAACAGGTAAGTTAACGGACCAGGCAAAAGTCCCTGCTTTAAGCCGGGCGCATACAAAACGATTTTACGGTAGTTGGTCCATTCAGGTTTAGACATATAGGCAGCCCTTGCCCAGACATGTTTTCCTTCTCGGGGCGCTCGCGCCTCGCGCGTGTACGCGAGTCTACTTGGTCTAATATTATGACCAAGTATAGATCGCCACTCGCCAGTCGCCACATTTTGATGAAAACATCATCTAGACAATCTAGACAGGAATCGGCAGACTAAAATCGTCGTGTGTGCGCCTAGCTTTATGAAATAAACAAGATTGGATTTTTATATCTACACAAAAAAGGATTATGCATCAAACAACGAAAAGGTATGTACATAAATCTTATAGGTGCTTTAATAATATATTTGCATGTGTATCTACATAAATAATATGCAAATATATGTCACATGCGTTGCCATTTGCCTTTGCATTCCGAGCCTATCGGCTTTCTACTTATAAATACTTATGTGCTAAAGCTTGTAATTGCGAATTATCTGACAATATTCTTTAAACTTTAACGTTGGACTATGTTTTATATATTTTCACTCCCTGAATGATTTCTATATTAAGCGATTGAATTTTGATACGGCATGTCACAACACAATCTCATAATTTATAATTGTACATGTACAATACAAACAAATGGTAGCATACAGGTGAAAATATTTGAAAGTTTCTCATTTGGCTTAGGGTTGTACAAATACTTTCGTTAAATATGATTCAGGCTTCAGCTACAACTTTGAACTAAAAAAAACAGGGCTACACAATAGCCCTGAAAATCGTAATGAGCGTGATAACTCTGGATAACTCTAACATTGACCTTATCATGATGCTAATAAGCTTAACATTTGCCTTATCATTTGATAATTTTGAGCAAAGCTCTCTTTATTATTGTATAAATGTGTACCAAATGGCACTGAATAGTCACAATGCATATCCATGACTTATATTTATGATGATTCCTCTGATGTAAAGCCATAATATTTAAAAAATATAGCATCTTAACATTGACCTTATCATTATGCTAATTAGCTTAACATTCACCTTATCATTTGATAATTTTGAACAAAATTCCCATTATTTTTGTGTAAATGTGTACTAAATGTCACCATATAGTCACAAGACATATTGATGAGCTATATTTGCGATGAATCTTCTGATGCAAAGCCAAAATATTTAAAAAATATAACATCTTAACATTGACCTTATCATTATGCTATATAGCTTAACATTCAACTTATCATTTGATAATTTTGAGCAAAACTCTCTTTATTATTGTATAAATGTGTACCAAATGGCAATAAATAGTCACAATGCATACTGATGACTTATATTGATAATGATTCCTCTGATGTAAAGCCAAAGTATAGAAAAAATATAGCATTTTAACATTGACCTTATCATTATATTTTGTTGTATAATGTTCACTCCCCCCTGGTTAATGGTTCTTTTGCAACAAATAGACTCCTTAAGTAGATAAGTTGAAAATAATGGGAAAATAAAAGTGGCATCTTAACATTCTACTTATCATGTAGTGTGGACGCGGACGGGGACGAGGACGGGGACGGAGACGGGGACGCCAAGACTATAGCAATAGCTCTCTTGCACTAAAGTGCAGGCGAGCTAAAAAGGGCAGAGGTTTTGGATTTTATGAAGCGTGACTACCCACAATATGCCTGGAGCCTTCCTACTCTAAGTAGAAGAATGCGTGCTTTTGATATCAAGTACGTTGACTCCAGGGTGCATTTGAAGGGCGTGGACGCAAAAAAACCCTGGCGTATTGGCGTGCAAAAAAGATCTTTTTAGCGTTCTGGCGTATAATAAAATATCGATACTCAATAAAATGGCGTAATTTGGCATCACAGCATCCTCAAACGAACCGTTGCGAGTGTAGACTCTCTGGGCAGATTGTTGAAATGCGCAAAGTCCAAGAATCAATTCAAGTATGATGCGCAGTAATAATTGAACTCCACACACACAGATCACACATAAACAATAACTTTAATACCAGTTATAATTATACAATGTTCTGTTGTTGATTCTCGATAGAGATTGAGGTTGAGGTTTGGTAGATAGATTGGTATGGTTGCGGATATGGATATAGATATGTTTGTGGGTTCGAACTACACAATTTAGAAAAGATTTACATAGATTATGGCATGCGCGCAAACTAACATAAGCATAATATATACATGAATACGATTTGACACTCTACGCGATTGAGAATAGAGAATAACGAACTGACTACTACAAGATAAATGTAACTTACTTTGGTTGGCGCACACCAAACTTGAATAGATATTGATGATAATTCGTTCGTATAGATTTATAGATGTTTACCGTTCTCGCTCTGTTTGAGTTGACAATATACTGATACCTGATACTTTAAAACTAAAGACTAATAATACATGCGTTCCGTCGCCATGGAAATGGCAACATATCAATATTCCAGACCACGTGTACGTTTCAAACCTACATACCGGCCCCTTAAAGGCGGATTGTGAGCCTTTACTAATAACTAACAATAACAAATGGTTTGAAACAAATTGAATAAACTGAACAATAGACTAAACTAGCTAATATATAAAAGTTTGAGAATTGTACTGTACGTTACTCGATCATTGCCTCTCTGCTTGATCTTCCTCCAGCAGCACGATCTTGCCACTGGTCTCACGAGTTCGAATGAACTTGTCTTCAACTTCACTGATCGCACGAGCTTGTCACCGGTATTCGTGTAAACTTCAATCACACGTCCTAGAGGCCAATTGCACCGTGGCTTGTTCTCGTCCAGCACCAAAACTACGTCGTTGACCACGAAATTTCTCTGCGGGATACTCCACTTTTGCCTTCGTTGGAGAGATGGGAGGTATTCCTTCAACCATCGACGCCAGAACACGTTTGCCATATATTGCACCTGACGCCATCTCCTTCTGCCATAGCCATCTTGCTTACAGAAAACACCGGGTGGGACACTCGATCCTGAACGTAGCAACAGTAGATGGTTGGGGGCCAAGGGTCCGTTATCTCGGGGATCGTCCGACAATTTGGTAATGGGTCTGCCATTCACCACAGACTCGACTTCACACATAAGGGTGTTGAGGGATTCTTCGTCCAGCTGCCGCTCTTTCAGAGTTGCCAGGATAACCTTTCTGACTGTCCGTATGCATCTCTCCCATACGCCACCGTGATGAGAGCCGGCTGGCGGATTGAAGGTCCACTTAACGTGTTGTTGCAGGAGGGCTTCATGTATCTGAGTTTGATTCCAATCATTCACCGCTTGCCTGAGTTCTTTCTCGCCCTTTACGAAGTTCCCCCCATTGTCTGATCGCATTTCTTCGGGCTGACCTCTTCTTGCAACGAAGCGTCTGAGAGCGTTGATGAAGGATTCCGTATCTAAAGAGGAGGCTACTTCGATGTGGATTGCGCGAACAGTGAGGCAGGTGAAAAGGACGCCGTATCGCTTAACGGTAGATCTTCCTCGTTTCACTGCAAAGGGTACGAAGCAATCAACTCCGGTATAAGTGAACGGCGGCTTCAAAGGGGTAACTCTGTCGCGTGGAAGGTCAGCCATCTTTTGTTGAGACACTGGGGATTGACGTTTTCGGCAGCTGTGGCATTTTCCGATGATATTCTTGACCGTTGACCTTCCATTGATTATCCAGTATCTCTCTCTGATGAGAGACAACGTGTGCTCCAGGCCTGAATGTCCGGAGACATGATGGTAATAATTCACGATTAAGGTGACAACGTGGTGGGTTTTTGGCAGAATACAGGGATGTTTCGCTTCTTCGCTGATCTCGGCTTGTCGTAGTCGTCCACCAACACGTAACAGGCCGTCTTTGACGGTGGGATCTAGTTGATAAATAGCGCTTGATTTCTTTATCCCCTTGCAATTTGATTCCTCGCTTTCTTTCTTCGCCAATTTGCTAGTTTCTTCTAAGAAGGCTACTTGTTGAACGTGCTTAATGATTTGCTTCTCAGCTTCACGCAATTCGGAGACGGTTATTGGGGCGATCGTCGTTGTTTGCGTAGCCCTTCTAACACTCTCTTTTTCTCGAACACGACGTAGCAGGTTCGACGTGAATCTCAAAACCCAAGCCACAATTCTTCTCAGGCGGCTCCAAGACGAACATCTTGGTATAACAGTGGTAAGGAAATCAGGACCAATGGTTCCACACGCGAAAGCTGCTGATTCTTTCTTGACTTCTGGATCGTCTGGCGCGATTTTCAGATTGATATCTGCTGGTCGTTGTGGCCAAGTACTAATGGGTTGCTGCAAAAACGTTGGGCCATGTATCCAGCGATGTAGTTGAGCAGCCGAAACTCCTCTAGATGCATCGTCCGCAGGATTGTCATTGGTTCTGACATAGTGCCACTGTTCCAAAGAGGAAGCCTCTCGTATCACGCTGATGCGGTTCGCAACAAAGGTCTGAAAACGTTTTTCTTCATTCTCCAAGTATTTGAGTACGCAGGTACTATCTGTCCAAAACAGCGTTTCGTCAACTGGTAGGCTTAATTCTGCTTGACACATCTTGTTTAACTTAACGCCGTGACCGCTGCAGATAGTTCCATACAAGGAATTGTGACTGACTTGATTGGCGCGAGGCGAGATTTTCCCATGACAAACGAACACTTGACTTCTCCTTGATTGTTCTCGATTCTCAGGTACGTAACTGCTCCGTAACCTTCTTGAGAAGCGTCTGCGAAGTGATGCAGTTGAGTTGACGCAATTTCTTCATTGTTAGGTTTGAAGCAACGATCGATTGTTAACTCTTCTAAATTTGGTAGATCTCGTAGCCATGATTGCCAACGATCTTGAAACTTCTCGAGAATGGTTTCGTCCCAGTCGAACTTCAATCGGCATAATTCTTGCAGAATTTGCTTTGCTTGAAGGATGAATGGTGCCGCGAATCCCAACGGATCAAACACCGAACTTACTACAGATAGTATTCCTCTTCTAGTCAGGGGGCGAACCTTGATGACGATACTGAAACCAAACTGGTCGGTTGAGACGTTCCACTGGACTCCCAGTACTCTTTCGATGGACAGCTTGTCAAAGTCGAGATCCTTGATTTTCTCGGCTCTATCTGACTCTGGTAAAGACTTGATGAGTTTTTGTGATGTCGAGTTCCACTTGGTTAATCTGAAACCACCTCTCGACAACAACTCGCGTAGCTGACTTGCCCTTCTCACTGCTTCTTCATCGGACTTCACCGACTTGAGACAGTCGTCAACATAGAAATTCCTCTTGACTGTTTCAATGGTTTGCGGATCGAACTCTGACTTGTTGTCTTCTGCTGTTCGTCTCAGAGCAAAATTTGAACAACTTGGTGATGATGTTCCGCCAAACAGACGCACTTGCATTTCGTACTCTTCAACAGGTTCATCGAGCCTTCCATTTGGCCACCACAGGAATCTTAATGTGCTACAGTCACTTGGTTTTACACGAACTTGGTAGAACATGGACTCAATATCTGACGTCATTGCCACTCTTTCCTCTCTGAATCTCGTGAGTACGCCGACTAAAGTACTGGTCATATCCGGCCCCTGTAGCAGTTGGTCGTTGAGTGATGTATTACCGTATTTAGCAGAGCAATCGAAGACTCTCTCACCTTCTCGGGTTTGTGGGATTCAACACTGGGTGATGGGGAAAGTACCAAAGGATTTTAGACGGATCTTGAGCTTCGTGATTCACCTTCCTTGCATAATCCTTGTTCAGGAGGTCGTTCATAAACGCCGTGTACTTCTCGTGCACGATAGGTTCTCGTTGGAGACGCCGTTTGAGTGAACTTAGTTGTTGTTCAGCTAGGGATCGGTTGTTTTGTAGTTGCGGTGGATAATTTTTCCAGGGTAGCGCGATTACGTAATGTCCATTGTCTAACTTGATGGAATCTTCCATAATTTTCAAGGCCTTTTTATCGTTCTGGGACATTGACGGTTCTACTTCGTAGTTTGAATCGTTAAACTCGCGGTTGCAGTAGTCGTAGAACTGGCTTTCTAATACATCGGTCGATTGCACAAAGTTGGTGGTTGGAATCTTTGATTTGCTTCCTCCAAGAGACAGTCGTCAACATAGAAATTCCTCTTGACTGTTTCAATGGTTTGCGGATCGAACTCTGACTTGTTGTCTTCTGCTGTTCGTCTCAGAGCAAAATTTGAACAACTTGGTGATGATGTTCCGCCAAACAGATGCACTTGCATTTCGTACTCTTCAACAGGTTCATCGAGCCTTCCATTTGGCCACCACAGGAATCTTAATGTGCTACAGTCACTTGGTTTTACACGAACTTGGTAGAACATGGACTCAATATCTGACGTCATTGCCACTCTTTCCTTTCTGAATCTCGTGAGTACGCCGACTAAAGTACTGGTCATATCCGGCCCCTGTAGCAGTTGGTCGTTGAGTGATGTATTACCGTATTCAGCAGAGCAATCGAAGACTACTCTCACCTTCTCGGGTTTGTGGGGATTCAACACTGGGTGATGGGGAAGGTACCAAAGGATTTTAGACGGATCTTGAGCTTCGTGATTCACCTTCCTTGCATAATCCTTGTTCAGGAGGTCATTCATAAACGCCGTGTACTTCTCGTGCATGATAGGTTCTCGTTGGAGACGCCGTTTGAGTGAACTTAGTCGTTGTTCAGCTAGGGATCGGTTGTTTTGTAGTTGCGGTGGATAATTTTTCCAGGGTAGCGCGATTACGTAATGTTCATTGTCTAACTTGATGGAATCTTCCATAATTTTCAAGGCCTTTTTATCGTTCTGGGACATTGACGGTTCTACTTCGTAGTTTGAATCGTTAAACTCGCGGTTGCAGTAGTCGTAGAACTGGCTTTCTAATACATCGGTCGATTGCACAAAGTTGGTGGTTGGAATCTTTGATTTGCTTCCTCCAAGAGGATCGTTTAGTACCCATCCAAAGACCGTTTTAGTTGCAAATGGACCACCATTCTCGCTTGGGCGCACTTCAATGGGCTGTAAGGCTTCTGGTACGTCGCTGCCGATGAGGAGACCAATCTCGGCATCAATTTCCAGCAAGGGTATATCTTTCAAATGTGGCCAACGTTGAACATCTTCTTCCTTGCCAATTGCGTCGGGCGAAATAGGCAGAGATGGTCTTGAATACACCACTGGTAGGTCGACGTGGTTTACAGCGTTAAGGTCGGAAACTTCGAGGCTTACTAAGGAACATTGAACAGGTATATTTTCTCCCTGCATTGTTGTCAACGAAAGATTTGTTGTGTTTCCACTTACGTTGAGTTGCTTCAGCAAGGTTTCAGTACAGAACGAAGTGTTCGATCCTGAATCGAGGAATGCTCCTTCTCGGTTGTCCTCTTCGCCGTGAGTAGCAAATCCATTTGCTCTGATTCCTGGTGGACGCGGTCGTCTTTGGTGAGGATCAATCTTTTCCTTTCTTTCCTTGTTTACTTTTCCAAAAACAGGATGATTTGCAGCTCTCGCTCGACTTGTTACGAACTTCGTCACATCGTTGATTGTTATGTCTCTCTTTTCTTGTTCCACTGTTCTGTCAACTACATCTCGCCATTTGTAGCACATTGCGGTGGGAAGACGGTTGATGATTCTTTTCAAGTTCTCTGAGGTGTTGAGTTTCCCGATACACCCGATCTCCTTCAATGTGTTAGCACAACTCGTTAACTGGATGGAAAATCTCTGGAGCTCAACACCATCCTCGGATTTTATGACAGGGCCATTGATCAAACGATTTACGTGAGCGGAAGCAATTTGATAGTTTTGACCATATCTTTCCTTTAAAAGCCGCATTGCTTCGACGTATCCTTCACTGGATTTCATGGTAAGACAGCTCTTCATCAGTTCTTGTACGTGGCCCGAGGTGTATTGTACAAGATAGTACAATCGTGCACTTGGATTGATGGTTTTTCTTTCCACAAGATGCTCGAAGGCACGAACGAAATCACAGTAGCTAATCGGGTCGCCATCAAAGATCTGCATCATGGGCTGGGGTAGTGTTAATGCCATAACTCCTTGTTGTTGCTGTTCAATCAACTGCCGTAGCGCGGTATTTTGACGATCTTGTGTTTCCATTAGCATTTGAAATGACTCGTCTCGAAAATTTTCGTGTTGATTATTTGTGCTCTGATCGTTTTCAACCGGCTTGTCGTCGTTCCATTCTTTATGATTAAGAGGCACTTTACTAGGAATAGGGTTTTCTAACTGACTATTCGATGGTACATTGTGAATATTTGGTTGATCGTGACGTTTACTCCATCCTATAGCAGGACTACTCGTGGAAACATAATTCATTTTTTGCGAATGTTCATGCAAACCAGAACTCTTATTTACTTGATTATACATTTCTTCGACTTCACTCTCTTCGTATACCTTTCGTTCAGCCTCTGCAACAGCTATTTCGGCGCGAAGCTCTACTTCCGCTTTTCTTTGTTGAAGTTTCAATTCCTCAAACTGGAGTTCATGCAACGTTTGAAGTGACGCTGCTTTAGCTTCTAACGCTGCTTTTTTTGCTGCAGCTCTGGCTTTAGCGCTTGCTGAACTTCTCACCGAGCTCGTCTTGGATTTTTTTGACCGCAAGGAGCTGACGTTACTAATCGAATCTTCAGGACGGATATCGGCCGTTATATCATTCTTCTGATGTTCGCTTAGCCAAAGATGTACCTTTGTTTTATGTTTTTCCGCTTCTTCTAACACGACTGCGCAATACTGAGACGAGTTCGATTTCTCCTCTTCATTATCGAGCCTTTCGTGATAAGCTTTATGCGCGAGTTGAAATTCGTTCACAGTTTCGAAAAGGTCATTTTTTGTCTCTTCCACGGCTTGAATATTGTTGCTAGACATAAGTTCGTTAAGCCTATTTATCTTACACGTCACATTTGCTTTTGCGGAACTGCGAATCCTTTTAAGTTCTTCGACTGAGTGTTCATTCTCGTCACCCATTCTCAGGTGTTAACTTCGTAATCACAAATTAGTAAACGGATCGCAGGTGCAGTTAAGTTGATTACCACCCCGAGTGTTGACAGCTGACTTAAGTAGACTTGATTGACAGATAGCGTATCGTGCACATGGTGGCTGCCGGATTTCACGCATATATTGTACTTGGGGATATATTTGCTTCGAGCGCAGGATTTGGTATACTGTGCCTTCAAATTCGAACTAATGTAGACTCTCTGGGCAGATTGTTGAAATGCGCAAAGTCCAAGAGTCAATTCAAGTATGATGCGCAGCAATAAACGAACTCCACACACACAGATCACACATAAACAATAACTTTAATACCAGTTATAATTATACAATGTTCTGTTGTTGATTCTCGATAGAGATTGAGGTTGAGGTTTGGTAGATAGATTGGTATGGTTGCGGATATGGATATAGATATGTTTGTGGGTTCGAACTACACAATTTAGAAAAGATTTACATAGATTATGCCATGCGCGCAAACTAACATAAGCATAATATATACATGAATACGATTTGACACTCTACGCGATTGAGAATAGAGAATAACGAACTGACTACTACAAGATAAATGTAACTTTACTTTGGTTGGCGCACACCAAACTTGAATAGATATTGATGATAATTCGTTCGTATAGATTTATAGATGTTTACCGTTCTCGCTCTGTTTGAGTTGACAATATACTGATACCTGATACTTTAAAACTAAAGACTAATAATACATGCGTTCCGTCGCCATGGAAATGGCAACATATCAATATTCCAGACTACGTGTACGTTTCAAACCTACAGCGAGTGTAGAAGCAATATATGATAATATGAACCATTTTTTTACTTTCACAGAAGACTGAAAAGAGACAAACTCTAGTCATGCTAAATTTGTCTATTACATGACGTTCTTCATCAATCAGCTTTTAGGCGCGCGGGCCTCGCATCCTTTGGCTTTGCCCTTCGTGAAACACGAAACTCCCACTTTTTTTAGTCCCGGATGAGTCGGATTTGGGTCAATGATCTTGTAAATCTCAGGTCAGTCTTTAGTCTTTTATAATATCAATTTGTTATTAGGATTATTCTGGATAAAGTGTTAAAGCTATACTTTATAATGTGAAAAGACCCATGTTTTATAATTTTACATTTAAATCTCAGATGGCCCATATATGTCATGTTTGTGGTAGAGAGGTCGGAGAAGCACATTCATGCAAAACGTGCAAGAACTTTGTCCACATTGCGTGTGGAGCTGCTGAGGGTGAAGAGGGGTATGGTCAAAAAGTTGTTTGCAACATCTGCAAAAATGGTAAGTAATGCTGATTGACCAAAATATAAACGTTTATTGATAGATTTTATTGGATCTCAATTTTTAAATACTGAAGACTAAAGGTACAAGACTAACAAGAGCCGTTTTCGCAGACTTCTTCAAAATCATGTCAAATGTACCCTTTTCCTTACTGACACAAATTTAACTGAAAAAATTTCAAAACCCTTGACAGTTCATTATAATAGTGAATAATTGACAGTGAACAATCATATATACTATT